TCTCTCTCTCTCTCTGTCTCTCTCTCTCTCTCTCTCTCTCTCTCTCTCTCTCGTGTCGAAAAGAATTGATTGGTGGTTGTGCGAGTGTTATTCCTTGATGACGTCTCGGGATTTTTGCAATTGATTGACATGTGGACTGACAAACGCCCTTCGATCGGTCATCAGCCTCTCGTATCATTTCCCGTCTCCACGCAACATTTTCCTTACGACGAGGAAAGGACACATGTATGCGAGTGGGACGTATGAGAAGCTGTCGCACGGATCGGCGGACGATATTACTTCCCTCCGAAAAATCGTTGTTCAGGGTTCGTAGAGGCTGGGTTTGTCATTATCGACACACAGTTTCCACCTTACTCGATATTGTTGCCATTTAACGAGTTGATCGTCATCCTGTGGGTGGCAGTAGAACCCCATTGGCCTCGCACTCTATGCACCGAGTGCCGGCGCTTTGAGCGCTATGAATCTAAGGGCTTCCACTACCGCGTACGGAGTGAAGACGAACACAGAGAAAGAGCCACACGACTGAGACGCTCCACATCGGACTCAGAACTGACTAACGACGTCGGGACTTAATACGAAGACGAGACACGCGAAGCGTGCCGAAGCCTTTTCGCTCTAAACGAAGGACCGTAGTACGGTGGGAAATCCGGCAATACTTTTTGGATTGAATTTATATTCCTCTCTCCTTTCGCACCGAGCTCCCGCGCACATTTTGTGACGCGCGAAAAACAATCGACTTACTTCATCGGACCAACACGGGGGATTTCAGTTCCGTCTGTGTCCCAACACTCAATTTCCAAAAAATCCTTGGCACACCCCATCTTGCTGTTTTTCTGGGCCCTTTTCCGCACCTCTAGCACTCCGAACGAAAGACAACACAGGGCGTGAGGTTGGTATCGGAACCGACACGTGTCGGTTCTAATGATGGTAAGTTGAACTGGCGAGAGGTAGAAGAAACCCTCAACCAGCTCGAAGAGACCGCCCAGTGACCAGGTCTCGATCCGGTGCGCTTGGTACCCGCCATGCCAATGGCAGACGGTAATAGGGTGATGGTTAGCATTCCTGCCCCCTTCCCCTTCTTCCTATGTAACACCCGCGGCGGCGGACAGGCGCGGCCAGTCCGCGAAGCCCATGGACGTGTTCGCGCGGACGCGCGGATTCGCGGACACGTGGTGGCTGCAATGGAGGAGATTTCACGATTATGGAGGCGCCACGTGGCAGCGCATCCCCTGCCCC